GAGGGCTGAGCCCGAACGGAGCTGGCTCTGTTAACGCGCGGGTCCCTCCTTGGAAGCTCCACGTCTGCCTTCCTGCTGTTGCCCTTCAGTGTGGAGTACTGATCTTGGAGCAGGAGGAGGCCAAACGCTGTTACTGAGGCTCCTGTGTCGTGTAGCCATCACGCATATGGGTTTCCAGAAAACACGCCCTCAGCAATGAGTAATTTTTTAGTAAACTATTTGTTCTCACTTGGTGACGCAGACGTTTTCAAGCCTGTTTCCTGAGGGAACAGGGCTTATGTGATCAGTCTGGTCTGCTGATCTGCCCTTTCTAGCACCTTTTGGGTCGTTTGCATGATTTCTGTAAATTTGAGACCTCACAGATAACAAATATTTGAGTGTTTTGAATACTGGTCCCCGTGGAAGGGAGAAACCCAGATGAGTGCCTGTGCTGAGAGGAACGCAGCAGTGTGTGCTCAGCAGTCAGTGCTACCCTGAACACGAGTGGCTGGCCGGCCACGAGCTCTGACCCTGCCTGGCGTGCCTTGGCTGTGTGTCGAACTGCTGGGCCCACGCGGGACAGACTGTGGGTGCTGTGACACGGGGGGAAGCCCAAACTGGGACGTGGGGAAGGGAAAGCAGCTGCTGCAGTAGCAGCCAGTGCAGGGAAACAAGATGGGTCCTTAACAAACTAGGCTTTGCTTCACCTCACTACTTAGAGAGCAATCTGCTGTTTGCTTGCACAACTGGCACTCAGGTCCTTCCCCTCCCTGTGTATGGACAGAGATAAAAATGAGGTGATTTTTAGGTAACTGATGAAAAGACTATACAGAGTTTTCCTTTGTGTGTGGCTTGGGGTTTTTTTGTGGTGTTCTTTTACATTGTTTCCTCAGTGAAGGTGTTGCTCATCTATTTCAAGGCTCGTTCCAAATCGTGCATTCATTATGTTCCCTGGATAACTTATGCTGTGTAGTTCCAAATATTCTGCAAATAAGCAAAAGCTTGTCCTCCTCTTCACAAATTCAAATGAAAACAAATACTTGAATCTTTGATGATTGTTACTAGAACCAATTTTCAACCTCATTCTTTAAACTGAACATGGTTTTGAGAGTGCTTAGCTGGTTCTGTTTCTCACTAGGACGCTGGGCAGAAGCATTTTGGTGCTATAGTTTGCAAGTCATGCGGCATGATCTACACGGCCGCTAGCCCGGAGGATGAAGCCCAGCACATCCAGCACCACGAGAGATTCCTCGAGGGACTCAGATATGTGGTAAGGCGATAGCTGCGCTCGCGGCTCAGCTGAAGAAGATGGGTGGTGAAATGATGTGCGATATCCAGGTAGAAAGTTGAGACAGCTGCAGGCAGACGTTTTGTCATCCAGAGGGGAGGTTCAAGGGTAAGCTGGGCAGTTCCAGCAACTGTCTGCCTTCATCGGTTTGATGAATGTGACTTACTTTATTCCTGAAAGCTGAAGTGGTTCAGATTACAGCTTCGTCTGCCAGAGTCTGCACTGAATCACTTCCTCTCTCTTGCTAGACCACTAACATTGTTTGTTTGGGTTTTTTTCCCCCTCTGTGGCAGGGTTGGAAGAAAGAACGGGTTGTGGCAGAGTTCTGGGATGGGAAAATTGTATTGATTCTTCCAGATGACCCGAAATATGCTGTCAAGAAGGTACATGTTTGTTTATTTTGGGGTTTATGTTGTAGATTAGCTTTCTGCTGGCTTAGCTCCCGGAACTACCTCAGTGCGTGATCATACATCGCTCGCCAGCGCACGGGGCGAACAGGAGAGCCGAGTGGGGTTGTGGCAGCAATCCGGGTTGCTGTGGACACCCACCCTGACACATCCTACCCCTGCGCTGAAGCTCTTGTTCTTACATGGCCAACATAGCCCAGTCCTTTCCGTCCCAAGGACTGGGGTGAGAGGCAGGTGCAGTCCGTGAGAGGCGTAGAGGGATGAAGACACAAGTGAGAGCCTGTTCTCTAATATTATCTACAGTTAGAGGAAACAGTTGCTCTGTTAGAGGGCTCTTGTGGAATGGGGAAGCACCCTTGTTTAAAATCTGCTTCTGAAGAGCCTCCATTTTTTTCTTTAGGGGGAGAAAAAAACCCATAAACATGTCCTTGCCGGACTAGCTGCGTGTGCAGTGAGAGCCCCCGGTGTGGTGGGAAGCTGCAAAGCGTTTCACGGCCGCATCGTGAAGCCTGACCTTCTGAAAACACAGGATTAGTTGGGGGAATGAGTCCCTCTTTCTGACAGGTTTTGTGCGGAGTCAAGGAATGTGCGTGTTCGTACTGAACGTGCCTATCTTCTGTTTTGTTTTCTTAGGCAGAAGATGTGCGAGAAATTGTAGATAATGAATTAGGATTTAAGCAAGTTTCTTTGAGCTGCCCAGCCAAGACTAAAATATACTTGTTTGTGTCCAATGAGAAGATGATTGTTGGGTGCTTAGTGGCTGAATCAATCAAGCAGGTATGTGTTACTAATTGTATGGGGAGGGGGTGAAATTGCAGGCTAATAACTGGGGCTGTTGGTGTAACCCTGCATATCAGAAATCCTGGCTTAGCACAGGAGGGGAGGAAAATAAAACTAAGGAAACAAAACAAACAACCACCCCCAAAAAATGACCAAAAAAAAAAAAAGAAATGAAGGAAAAGCTTGTGCTTTTGTCAGGGTGAGATGTTGCTTGCAGGAGTTAATTGAGTTGATGCTGCAGTGAGCTCTCATCTGACCTGGGTTTGGGTGCTCGTTTATGTGGTGGTCTGCCTTGTAAGAGAGCAGAAGGCAGGGCTGGGAGCACGGGAAGGTCCGTTCCTCTGTGTCCTGTTGGGA